ATATCAGAAACCCATCTTTTCGCGGTAACATAACAACGTCAATGTTGATTTAAATTTACCAATAAGTCGTGTTTGAGAGAGAGAGAGAGAGAGAGAGAGAGAGAGAGAGAGAGAGATATAACGTCCACTCGACACAAACTAGGCCATTTCGGGACTAACATATGATACAATTTTATTTCCAGATTTCGCTTGTGCGCAGAGACCTTTAGCGGTGGGAGGTAACCGGAGAAACCCCCGAGGGTGGAAAGGCGACGCGAATCTTTGTCACGTACAAGCTTGAGATCGAAACCACGCCACCTGTCTCAATGACAGACCTTTTAACGGTGTAACGACATTTCTTGTTTCCTAAAAGTATATAAATATATTCAACGAATATTCACACATCAAGGCGTCTTGCAGTCAGCGTGTATCATTACACGTATATGCATTCGGTGCATGAATGTAATTTTTAACATACACTCCTCACCAGGTGTATATTATTTGTTCACGATGTAATAAATTGACTAGTAATTTAATTCACAAGTGTGGAATTCGAAAACTCTAAACAAATAAAATGTTTAACCTGCATCTCTTCTCCTATTTGCTGATTACTTAAAGATGCATTATGTGAGAGAAAGAGAGAAATGGGGTTTAACGTCCACTCGACACAACTAGGTCATTTCGGGACTAACATATGGTTTAATTTTATTTACATAATTCGCTTGCGCATAGGGGTCTTTAGCAGTGGGAGGAAACCGGAGGACCCGGAGAAAACCCACGAGGTTGGACAGGCGACCCTACTCCTTGTCACGTACAACCGGGGATTCGAAACCACGCCAGTCGACTCAATGACAGACTTTATGATACAGCGCGCGCACGCTAACCATTCAGACAGTTTAAAAATAGATAACGAAAAAAATACATATATTGAAAATTTCTTTCAAATTACTTCATTCTGTGCGACTGTTTGAAGAATAGCGTACTGCGTAGTCTCGATTTTCATTGCTACCGTTGTTACGATAATACACAAAGTCCCGATTATCCATTTATAGTTATGCCAATCGTGTTTCAATTCGTTCAAAATCACTAGGTCATTTCGGGGCTTGCGCGTAGGGGTCTTTGGCAATGTGGGAAGCCGGAGAAAACTCGCGAGGTTAGGAAGGCAGCCCTACTGCTTGTCACGTATAGTGGGGAATGGAAACCACGCCAGCTGACTCATTTCAGACCTATTGAAACAACGCGCACACATTAACGGCGTAGCACTCTGATTAAAAAAAAACAGATCCTATTTCGTTTCATTTTTTATAGTTCAAAATTTCGCTGTGGCCATCGGAAGAATAAAACAAAGAAAAGAAACGAAAGATAGATCTATTATTTAATCAGATAACCGGAGTAGTTAGGTTTTTCATTGAGTTAGGTTTTATCGAGAACGAAAACAAACATGCCAGTTTCATTAGATAAACATGTAATAATTCTTTCTTTTCCAATATTTTGATTACTTAATGCAAGTTTTTATATTCTTGTTACAAAAGATTTTTCTCTATACGGTTAGGTATGTTTACTTTTTCTAGAATCACTGAAATGGAATGGGGCTTAACGTTCTACTTTCCCTCGGCCAACGATATTTCCGCCTACTATTCTTCGAATTCGAATTCTAACTGGCATGGTTTCTGTTACGTGCAAGCTAGTGAGAGCGTGGGTAGGACTCAGCTTTTGTGAATTCTCAACGTCCAGACGCTTTTCGTGCCTTTTCAACGTCTATGCGCGTTTCGTTCCTTCTCAACGTCCAGACGCTTTTCGTGCCTCCTCATCGTCCAGACGCTTTTCGTTCCTTCTCAACATCCAGACGCTGTTCGTGCCTTCTCAACGTCGACGCTTTTCGTTGAACTTCCGGCCAATACCTGGATGGAACCCGGAACCACCTGCACCACTGACAAAGAAACGTTAGGCTGGGAAATCCCAAGGAAATGTTTTGGCCAACTCCAGGAAAATCGAATCCTGCTTGACCTCCTGGTCAGTGAGCGTGTCCCGTCTTCCTACACCAACCGAGCCAATGAAGACAGACAAACACCATGGCGGGAGGTTTGTCTGAACGTCGACATTTTCGCCTATTCTTCATCGAAGTATAACTGTCAGGTGTTCTTTCACCTGAACTCTAACGTGTAAAGTGTGGTTTTCTGTCCATTAACAAGGAGAACACTCCAAGGAACGTTTACGACCAACACCGGGGTCGAATCTGGGACCTGCGCCAGCGTTGTCACCAACACTCATTCAGAGACGGTTATTAATACAGACACAATTCTTATATTTATCCATTTGGTTTCAAATTCCACCCCCAAAACAGTTCTGAGAAAGTGAATGACATGTTACGAGAGTTTTGACTGGCTATGAAGAAATATTTCGCCATTGATGTAAGCAACACGTGTATCATATATCAACAAACAAGTACAAGTCTAGAAAATATTTCTTAATTAGATTTTTGTTTTCCTTGATCAAACTTCAAAGATCAAAGACCACAGGGTCAATTTAATATGTAGGTCGTAAAACAAGTATTGTTTAACGTGGTAGATCTTTGTCACAAAGACATAAACACACTAACTATTTCTATTACAGATACGTGGTTTATAACGTATTATTAACATTATTATTATTATTACAGCATATTTATAGTGCGCCCGTTCGTATAACATGTTCAGGGGCACTTTACAAAGTGACAATGTAATCATAAATAAACAACAAAATTATGGACATGTTAACGATTGTGTACTTATGAATATGTGAAGCAATTGTTTAAAGTTAAACACATTTATCATCAATATAGAAAGTAACATAAATAAACTGTCACAGAGGCATATATTAGAAATCACACTGTCGAGTTCTGTTCCAGATATGTAGCTTATAGCCCATGGATATGTTGAAGTTGTGAAACATTTGTTAACGTGACCATTTCGACTTTTTTTTGATCAAGAAGTGGTCCCAGGCGGATACTTTTTATTCTTCTTCTCGCTGTTGTTCTTCTTCAAAAAAGTCAAAGATTTTTCAAATTCGACTACGAAAGGCCAAAAAGTCAATCAAAATGGTTTAAAAGACAGAGAGTGAAAATAGACGAACTGCATTCAGTACATTCGCAAGATCAGGAGAAGCGATTTCTTTTTCCATAGTTCAATCAGAATTAAGCCTTTTAAATATTCATTGAGAGCTAAATCTGCCTATTGCAAGTCTTCATATGTTCTAGAAATTGCTATTCAGACAAGTCTATATTCTCAAGACCATCGGATGAGAGAGAGAGAGAGAGAGGGAGAGAGAGAGATTAACATTTCAATCGACAGTACATCATTTAGGGGCTAACGATACATTACCTTGGTTAGTGTGGGTAGCTGTTCAGCCAAAAGAGAGCCTTTAAAGTCGACGTTCAAGGCTGAAATGATGGCAGGTATGCGTAAAAGGTCTGCTGTGTAGACAACATTCTATTGTCAGAGAATGTTTTTTGCTACATGTTTTGTGTGCCATATCTTAGTAATATCATTTTGTTTGGCAGTGGTTATAACACTGATATACATGAAGGCCAAGTCACGACGAAACAACTTTATAGATAGGAACAGTCACGAAGCGGGTTAAGCAACATTTTAATTCCTACTTCGGCGATTTCACTCGAATATATTTATTATACGTCCAGAATGTTTTAGAAATATTTATGTCTTATTCCAAAGTTGAAATCGTTTTGCTATGGCTATTTTACCACTCTGCCTCAAAATCATGTTCTAGAACCTGATAAAAGAGAGGCTGGGGTAGGGGTTAATTGGTGTGCTGCCTTTATAGAACCGAGGAGAATCACGCACGGAGTCAATCGCGCGACACCTGGACATCTCGTCGCGGGACCATGTAATTAAGGCTATTAAGATGTCATTCTAGCTATGGTCAGTAATTGTACACATGTTGAAACAATTACCATTATACGGTATTTACCTCAATATATATACCAACCAATTACTATTACATATGTTATTATCTATATATTATTATCATACTATATATATTATATCCTGTCTGTATCATCATATTGTTATTAATAATATTACTGGACGGATAACGCATACCAAAACACTAACACTAAAAGGACATTTCGCCTAGAAATAGGTTTTTACGTCATACTGTTCATTATATATAATATTCCTGGACGAACAACGCATTCCTAACTAATACTAAAGAGACAATTTGTCTAGAAATAGGGTTTAACGTCATATTGTTCATTATTTATATATAATATTCCTGGACGAATAACGCATTCCTAACTAATACTAAAGAGACAATTCGTCTAGAAATAGTGTTTAACGCCCTTATTTTCAGCGGATAACGCGTTCCAAAAAAAACAAACTAACATTAATAGGACAATTCGCCGAGAAATAGGGTTTAACACACAATTTGTCATTATCTATAATATTCCTGGACGGACAACGCATTCCAATTAAGACTTGTCTAATTTTTATTGTCTGTATGATCATGACATGGTTATTAATATTGCTGGGCGGAGAACTATTTCCCAACTAACACTAAAGAGACAATTCGTATTAAAAGATTAACTGACGACAAGCTGTAGCCCCAAATGTATCCCCAATGCATTTTCATTCAAAAATAACACATTTCAGACAGTTACTAGCATTCTTTAGGGCAAAGGCTGTGAACTATAGAATGCTCCGGGCTCGAATCCCGCTGTGATTAATGTCGGCGACTGCGGTGACGACACGTACAATGGTAGTTCGGTCCCGCTTTTCTTAGGACAAAATTTTACAATCAACAAATTCAAATACAAGATGTTAACCAGGAACTGACCATGACGTCATTACAGCAAATGTGCAATTGTCCAAAGAACAAAGATGCCAAGTTTTATGTCAATCGTACTCGAACTGACTTTTGTTTAAAGAACGTTTGCCAAGTGCATGGAACCCGCGTTCCGGGTACAAAAATTCATTCCAGGCTATAGCTATAGACTAATTGTTCCGGACAAAAAAATAAAAGCTTACCTTAAAGCCATGGTGAGAGTACCCTTTTATATCTTGATTCAATTAGCAAAAAAATGGTCTTTAAACACTTTTATAGGAAATATCCTTATCCTTTATCCTTATCGTTTTTACTTTCGTTTTCCCTTATACAGTGAAACACATCTCCAAACACTACAAATTACTGCTTTCGGAAGCCGGATTGTTTAATATTTCTAAACAATCAACTTTCCTGGTGAAGCCCCTTTAATTCCTGTCCTCAATCGCTAGTTTCGTTTTCAAATCCGTTATTTATCATTCCTTGATTCTACAAAGTCTTTGAAATAGTTCCCAATCGCAAGTTTCGTTTTAAAATCAATTACTTATCATTCCTTGGTTCTATAAAGTCTATGACCTATAGTTTTGTTTTAAAAAAATCCACAATTTGACAGTACTTGGTTCTACCAAGTCTTTGAAATAGTTTTGATTTAAGAATAGTTGAACTATTTGTGAACCTCCTACTCCAGTGCTATTTGTCTCGTATTCTCACCACTTGTAATTCAATAGTTTTACAGGAAATCAACTTAATATTTAAAAATAAATTCTTGATTTGTTTCTGACTTGTTGCTGAGATTCAATAACCACTATTCCTATTAAATAGCATTTAAATTTAAATCCGTGTGATCTAATTTTAAGACATAAAATGCAAGATCAGACCTTTAAATGAGTTTGTTTTCTACATCCAATATCATGAAGACCAAGCTTGTTCCTAGCGTCGATCCAGTATCGTGGAGACTAAGCGTGTCTTTATTGTCGTGAGTTCCTACCGTCGATCCAATATCATGAACACTGTGTTTGCATTTATTCTTGCGAGTTCCTACCGTCGATCCAATTTTATCGAAAGTAAGCTTGTTTTTATTGTGGTGAGTTTCTTCCGTCGATCCAATCTTATCGAAAGTACGCTTGTCTTTATTGTGGTGAGTTCCTACTGTCGATCCAGTATCATAGAAATTAACCCGTCTTTATTGTCGTGAGTTCCTATCGTCGATCCAATATCACAGAGACTGAACCTGTCTTTATTGTCGTGAGTTCCAACTGTCGATTCAAATCTTTCAGTCTTTTATCGATGTCCTTGACGTCACAAACTTGCAAGGAAGGGCGGTTCCAAAGAAAGGGATTAATCGTTAAGATGCGATAGATTCTTGCAAGTGATTATCGCTAAAACAAAATCATGGAAAGCTTGAAAATAGACAATTTTATTTAAGATTATGATGTATTCCTTCTTTGAAACAATTAACATCAAAATTCACCGATTAACAACTGCATTCACAATCACATATTTCGCTTGTTAATTCCGGCTGGCAAACACTTTAACACTAACAACTACAAATCCAGCTGAAAAAATAAACCCTAATTCAACTAAAAATATAAACCCTTTAAACTCTCAAAATTAACAAAATCCATTTGAAAAAAACAAAACAATAATGGCCAGCAGAATTTAACTTAATCCTGTTGGAAATAGACCTACAAACACTAAACAAAATCCACTAAGAATGTCATGTCTCAAACTCATAATAAACACAATTCATTTGATAACCAGACTGATGACCAGGCAAATTTAACACAACTCTGTCTCGTTTAAATCCTAGTAGTTAAATTCCCATTAATTAAACTACACAAATATGTCATCTTTACTTACAGCTTAAAAAACAATTTGACATTCAAAAGATGATAGAAAAAAAGTGACGTCTGCTTTGAGCTTACATTCGCCACGCGCTACAATGGAATTCGGGTATACATCTATCTATATATATATGTAAAAGTTATAGTTCATAATAACAACTAGCCGGCGATATAATAACCGGTATATGTACGTACCGTGTGTAAAGAGTCCATTTATAACGTTTTACAATATCTTTTAAAGTCTTTTTTCGGTATAAAATATTATCGAAATACCACGACAACCGACACGTCTCTATAGCGAACAACCAGCGATGGAATAACCGATATGTGTATCTACTGTATGTGGAAAGTCCATTAAAAATGTTTTGCAATATTTTATAAATTCGTTTTTCGGTATAAAAAGTTATCGTATCCAGTCATTCGTAACACAGATTTCCCAATCTCGGGCTTTTCCTTGATTTCTTGTACGCTACTCAAAAGTTGTAACAACCATTTACAGAGAATTCCATTCAAGAAACACGAATTCCCGAGCTCTTTAACGCATTTACACGTCAGCGATTAATGTGTAGTCCATAAAAAATATGACACCCGAATTTACAAACACACATGTTTCCAGTTGGGTTCAAACAATCAATTCCATATTTTAGGTCAAAGGTCGTATTAAACAATTATTCCTTTTGTTTCGATTGTTTTTTCCATATGGCTTGTTATTCTTCCCACGGATCACTCAATCGTTATAATGTTTTTTATTATTTCATCCGCTTGACGTTAATGTCGTCACCTTTACCTACTTACACAATTCAGACTAAACATTAACCCCCAACTGTGTTAAGTCGCGAGCCAGGTTCCGGAAAAATTGTTCCGGGTAAACATGGCAACCACTTGTACAAACTTTAACCTGCTTTCCGCCACTTTGCATACCATTCCTAAAACTCGACACTATAATTTATACATCACCAAAATATTCCTTTTTAGTTACATTTTAATTCTTTTCTCCTCCTGCTAGTCTTTGGGTTTCCACGTGCGGAGAATTCCTGGAGCACGCGGTGCTAATATCAATTCCTTTTATCGCGTGTAATTCTTCGATAGCGCTCGTTTCTGTCTGAATCCAGAAAATATGCCGTTCTTTCCTTATCGGCTTTTATTCTCACCACAATCACACTTTTAACATCTTTCTTTAATAAGTCGTTCAAATGTCAAGGAATTTCAAAACATATTCTTTTAAAATGAAAACTGTTGACAGGAATCTTGACATTTTTGTTTAGTTTCAAGATTCATTCCATAAGCTATATTTTGAACGGGTTTTTATTTTTTGTAATTCTTTTTAAATAGAAAACTTCATACATGTTAGAAAGATAAAGCCGTCATATGTTTGGTTGAGATATTCATATTATATTAAAATAGAAATTATTGAAATATTTTCTGAATACACGTTGCGAACTGGCCTGTCTCCGCGCGTTGTTCGGTACTGACTGACAACAATGGTGATACAGTCTTGTTGAACTGGGAGTATTCTAACACATTTACAAAATAACCGAATTTTTCTCGTAAAAAGTGTGAAAGACGCTATAGTTGAATGCTTGCCGCGTCGAGCTAGAACGTTAAGGCGGTTGCTTGTATAGATTTGGAGTAGAAGCGGCCCAGTTATACATAATACGTAGAACACAGACTTAGTACCGAGAGTCAGAGTTCGACAAACGCATTGTCACTATAATAAACACCCTCTCTTACAGTAGACTAGCGTTGACAGTTTAAAGGAATACGGTTACACCTTTCCCTAAAGATATGATATAAAATGAAATAGGGTTTAACGTGCTACTAACTATGTAATGCAAGAGGGAGTATGTATATTTTCCTTCGAATCGCTACTAAAGAGAGCATTGGTTCTCGATTTATGTTTCAAACCGAAGGACTAAACACTTATTCTTGCCGACGTTATGTTTCGAACCCGAAACATTCTAGTGCTCCATCCCCACGACAAGACAGTGACAGAATTCTCGTGATTTATGAACTAACCGCTTGTTTCATTTCGAAATTTTGGATTGTAGTGTTAGATTGGCACGTATATTTACTGTCTCAGTAAGACGTTGGCTCGCTAACCGGGGGGGGGGGGGGTGTACCGTGTTTGATATGTTCCGGCGTAGTTCCCCCTTGTCAGTGGTGTATGACGGAGGGTCTTGCAGGGAAAAACAAATGATCGTTCGGATGGAACGAATGATTGACATGTACGTATAAAACCCTTGATAGTTGGAATCCGAAATGTAGCACCGCTGTCCAGGCAAAACAAAAAATTTTCTCATAGCACACTTCATGGTGTATTCCTCTCTTCATAAGGACGTTAAACCCCAATTCATTTCGTTTTTCAAGCAAGTGCAAGCGTCTAGTCGTTCGGATGGTCTGAGGCGAGGAACCGAGGACCGTGTTAGAATTCGATAAAGAGTAGACGGTTACGCCACTATATGGGCAAAATCTCCCTCATAGCACACAGCAGCGCGGATACCCGGTGTGTATCAAAAAGTATATTTCCTCTTTCTTGACATATTGAGAATGTCTTTCATTTACACATTGCTGCAGTGTGAGTCCTATACGTGAATCTTAGCGATATACAAATCTATTTGGTACAGAATAGTGGGACGTTAAACCTCATTTCATTTTCATTTCATGTCGGGGATCACGTGGCTAAGTGGGTGACACGCTGGCTCGCTATCCTGGAGGTCGCGTGTTCGATCCCTGCATTGGCTGAAAAAGTTCATCGGGATTTTCCGACGTGGTTTCCCTTGTCAATGATGCAGGACGAAGGGCCTGGCAAGGACAGCTGTCTAGTCGTTCGGATGGGACGAAAAACCGAGGTCCCGTCTTCATTAGCCCAGTTTAGGGACAGAACAGTAGGACGTTAAACCCCATTTCATTTCATTTCATTTCATGTCATTTATAATGGAAGCTTGGCATTACAATAAACATGAAATGCAGCCACGAGTCGCCACTGGCATCCCCAAACCACCATTTCGTTCCGCAAGCTAGCACGTTAAACCCAATTTCAATTCAGTTCATTTCATTTATAATCATTTTGGCATGGCTACGGCCAGATACAATAACCTAGAAGAGCAGCCACGAGTCGCCCCATTGTGATAAAATAACAGTAAAGATCGACCTGGCTTGTTCTAGTGTACGGTAAATAAATTTAAAGGGGCATTATCCTTGACAATTATCGTATATTTAACAGCTCGGCTGATAAACACCGCCATAGTAAATCGTTTAAAGTGACAATTACCTTCCATTAACATCGCACGTGTTATCATCAAAGGAAATACGTCTACATCCAATATTTGTTCGCTTTCGTTCTTAATTTGAAGCCATTAGCGTTGTCATGTAATTTCTGTGTGAATCCCGGACCAGTGGTCAAATTGAGGATGTATTTAAGGATTAACACTTGGCAATTTTCTGTGTTATTGAAAAAAAAAACCCCAGAATATTAACTCTACATTCATTAATAATTAGTAAGCCACCGTCTAATTTGAAACCATTAACGATATCGTGTAATTTCTGTGTGAATCCTGAATCAGTGGTCGCCCGGAAATGAATTGAAATGGGAGGTTTAACATCCTATTTTTCTGCCCCAACTGGTGTAATGAAGACGGTCATATACCAACTGGTGTAATGAAGACGGTCATATACCAACTGGTGTAATGAAGACGGTCATATACCAACTGGTGTAATGAAGACGGTCATATACCAACTGGTGTAATGAAGACGGTCATATACCATGTGCTAGGAGAGGAATTTGTCTTAAGTTTAAACAATGTGTGAACTTTGTTCCGCCATTATTGTACGAATTGTGAGAGTACATCTTGAGACTAACACGTGGTTATTTTCGCTGTCATTTCGGCCATTTATACAACGAATAAATAACTCGATTAGGATATGAGAGAGAGAGAGGGGGGAGAGGGGAGGGAGAGGGGAGGGAGAGAGAGAGGGGGGTAACGTCCTCTCGGCACAAACTATGTCATTTCGGGACTAACATATAATATATGGTTCAATTTTATTTCAAAATTTCGATTGCGCACGAGGTTGGGCAGGCAATCCTACTCCTTGGCACTATCAAGCGGGGAATCGAAACCACGCCACTTGACTCAATGGCAGACCTTGTGATTTCACCCGCATGCGTTAACCACTAGGATATCCAACCCCTCTCTCCGAATATGTAGTTGAAAGAGGAAATAAATGGCAACATTAAGAATGGTATTCAGACTAACTAAAATGTCCCTTACTATGACCACACATACAATGTTAGTGAAGACAATTTTGCCCGGGCAGCGATAATTCTGCCAAATTTCAATAAATCTTTTATTTCCACCCTACCTCTCCAGCTCAAGATGACTTTCACTTTGACCTTCTGCATTATTTGTTTGATCTTGGGTTTGATTAATTACATCTGTACAAAAAACCTCAAATTACCAAGTGCATGATTAATGACCCGTCTAATCATCACCAAATGGAATACTCTATGGAGCTTCCAGATCCATCATCAATAGAAGGTTTGATCTCCCTATAACTCAGTACTAGATGTTGTAAAACTCGCTGGCGTTATTGCTTCAGGAATATGGTCCAAATCAGAGTTAAGATGTTTTACGGCGAAATAATTTTATCCAATATCAATTTCACCCAATCTATATGAATCCTGAAAGAGATATTAGCCCTTTGGAGTTTGTTAACCACGTGGTTTATGATTCTGTGTGACTTAGCGCCAGCGTCGAATCAGAGACGCTTTATATCAGAAGGTCTGACATTGAGTCAGGTGGGTGTGGTTACGATCCCAAACTTGTTCAGACCAGGATAAATGATTTTTTTACTATTCCTCGCGGGATTTCTCCGATTTCTTCCCACCGCTATAGGGTCTAAATCTATTTGTAAAGGCCAGCTAAATTTTTGTCAAGGTCACTGAGATGTAAATAAGGCTAGGGCACGTGATTGTTGGCGAGATTGTAGGTTAGGGTTATCGGGAGGTGAGGGTTCTTTACAGGGTAAGCATTGGGACTAGGTCCAGGGCTGGGGTAAGGGTTGGGATTAGCCCGAGTCCTGTTTACAAATGACCTATGACGAAAAGTTTAGCACTAACCCCGCTATAGGCTCTTATTAATTGTCGACTAGAGAATTAATGTCATGAAATAACGACATAACGTATGTAAATCCCACCTCTCTCTGGTTTCGAGCCTAAACGTAAACGTGACAAGGAGTGGGTCGGTTGCCCTACGGTTTTGGTTTTCTCCCAATGCACAAATTCTCTCTCTTTCTCTCTCTCTCTCGCTCTCTCTCTCTCTCTCTCTGTTTAAATCGTACTCTCTCTATTATTTTGTAGAGAATTTCAGATCGCTTCATTATTAACGACCCTTCAACTACTAGTATAAAAATAACACTTTAGTTGAAAAAAAATACAAATCGCACCCAAAAAATAACAAAACTGTAGGAAAATGCTAGAGATAATATGGTTTGAGTTTCACAGAACTAGGAATGATAGAATGCATTAAAGGTATCTTGGTTCTTGATGAGATTCCTGGCAGAAGGAATTCTGATAAATGGTTTTAATTACTGACTTAATTGATGTAAAAAAGTTAGATAATATATATTTCCAGTTGCATTCTTTAAAGATACATGCTGTAAGATTTAAATACAAAGCTGGTTGTTCTTGCCATAATAATTCAAAAACAGATAATAAGAAATGAATCTATTGAAAATTTCAGTCAAATTACCTTTTTTTGAGCGATGTTATTCGCGGTTGAAGTTTCACAAAATAGTCTCGATTGTCAAGCACCATTCTTACGATAACAAAGTCTCGATTATCCATTTTTAAATCAAATTATTAAATGGCGATCGTGTTTCGATTTGTTTCAGTTTTGATTTTCAACATTCGATAGTCTATAGTGTCTATGTTTTGTGAGGTATGAAGCAGTGGCGTGCACAGGGTTGGTGATACCGCATCGGTGGAAGGACGTCGAGTTTTGGTAGCTGCTATGACGCCACGCTTGCTTTCTGGTCAAATTTACGATCATATATTAAGTTTGTTCCTTGGACAATTGCGAATGGATTGAATTGCGTCGATTTTTGGTGTCTGCGATGACGTCATGCCCGGTCCCTGGTCAATAGTACGATCGTATATAAAGTTTGTTTCTATTAGATAGTGAATGACTGG